TACATACACACACACACATATATATATATATATATATATATATATATATATTATACGAAATGGTTACAAGCGAATGCATGTATGTGAACACCAATAGCCCTTCGTTCTTCAATATGACCGTTGTGTGCATGGATTCGTATCGGGGACTACAGTTGAGAGTTGTATATCAATCGCTTCTCACAATAATTGCCAGGATGCGTACCCTTCCTACTTATAGCCTATATCCGTTCTTAAAATTCCCTTCAAGTAGTCTAAGGGGTTTGGACCCTAAAACTCTAAAACCCTAAACCATATAAACCTCTGAAACCCTGAACTTTAAAAAAACCTAAAACTCTAAACCCTGAACACCCCTAAAACCCTTTCTAACTTGCAGGGGTGCCGTTTGTGATTAGCACAGTCAGCTCACAACCTATTGAGAAGATTGTGGAGACGGTCACGAACACCAACATACTTGCGCCAAAGGTAACCCCACGACCCCTTGTCTGAGTGTGTGCCTGCAGCGGTCAACAGTTGCTTCACCTGATCTGCTGATAGCGTACGTGCGTGCATATGTGTGGATCTGTGGGTATTTGTAATGTGGCCATAGGGCATTCTTCCACACGTGGTGGGTGTATGTCTTCGGTTCGGACCTCGGTATCTTTTGCATCTGTTACTAGCACAGTCGAGGATTGTGCTTGTCTATTCGGGATGTTTTTGCATTAAACCCTCAAACCCTACAACCGAAAACCCTAGAATAAACCCCTAAACCCTGCGTCACTCTTCTACCCCTACCACAGCAATGACACACCCATTTGATAAAACACTGCTCCAACGACCTGTATCTAAATTTAGAATTGCAGCACTTGATAACATGACCTACAGCTGACACTGACAGACCATGTGACACTCATGCCTCTGTCCGACCTCTACCAACACTGCTTGACGTACCGTAGGATTCCCTTATCACACACTCTGACACGATACAGTCTCTGTTTGTGTGCCCCTGCCAACCACACACACGCACACACGCAGTACCATATAGTTTGTGCTGGTGCTACTATCTGGTTGTAGTAAAACCCTAAAACCCTACATTCTATCTATCTCACTCCTCTCATACGACTATCTGGCTGTAGTTGTAGTTATTGCACTTTGCGCGTACGTTCTATCTATCTCACTCCTCTCATATGCCTTCCGGTTGCCATGGCAGCCATGGTTCCAGCTGTACAATTCCAGTGTGACTGCACTGTCTGTGAGTTACCTGAAACGCGCCAAGGCCGCGGGATGCGAGGCTATTGTATTGACCTTAGACACCACTAAGTACGGCTACAGAACAGAGGAGCTAGACGCAGGATACTTCCCACAGGTGGGTGTGCATGGCTGCTGCTGAGTGGGGCTGTGATAGGATGTATCGACACTTTACGTGATGTGATGAAACGTTTTGTATGAATCTATCGGCACTCGGCATATAACATATGGAGGATACCCGTTTTATTGTAGATTTTTACGTCACACGCATGTCCGATTTGGTTCATAGAAGTATACGGCCATACAAGTATACGACTTTAGTCATAGTCCCACAAGCATACGACGCTATTCATATATCTATACGACTTAAGTCATAATCATACAAGCATACGACTCTATTCATACAAGCATACGACCTTGGTTACACACAGGCGGATGTGCGCATACCTTGGGGACAAGGCAGATCAGACCCGACTTTCAATGGGATTATGAAAGGCCAGTTCAACAGCGTAGCCAGTGAACAGTTCAGTGACGACGGCAAGTACGAAGTCAGTGCACTCAAGACCAACATGCTCACCTTAGCAACGGTGGGGGTGAGTGCAGGAGATGTGTGGGATAAGGAGAAGGTCCCCGAACCAGTAGACAAGCCGCATCAGTCAATTGGTAGGTAAAGGGCTAGTGCACGGGGCAGGGGATGGGCAGAGACCCGTGCTATTGAGTGCTAAGTGACCAACGGTACTTCGCGAGTGATATATAAATACACACACACAC